CTCTATTTGGTTCAGCATTAAGGTTGGGTTTAGGGTTAGGGCCTATTAGATTTAGTGTTAGGGTGACATTTAGGGTTATGGCAAAGGTTAATTTTACGTCCCTTAGGGTTAGGGTTCAAGTTAATAAGGGTTAAGGTAAGGGTTATTTTTAGAGCCATTAGGGTTTGGTTTAGCCTTATGGTTAGTGCCTGTTAGGGTTAGACTTAAGACCGTTAGTGTTAGGTCCATTAGGGCTAGGGTCAGGTTCATTAAAGTTAGAGTTAGGGCTAGGTTTAGAGTCCATTAGTGTTTGAGTTAGGGCCTGCTGATTTTAGATAAGTGTTAGGGGCTATTAGGTTTAGTGTTACAGTAAGATTAGGATTAGGTTTACAGTTAGGGGTTAAGGTTGGGGCCTATTAGGGCAAGGGGAGAGTAAAGATCTATAGTTAGAGGCTTTTCTTCCTCCAAGGCAGCACTGATGGGACAGATTTAGTACATACATTTGGATGCAAAAGTATTGATTGCACTAGGAAACAGCTTTATAAATATAAAACCCAGCTTTGTATTATTTATAAATATAATTTCTCTTTGTAAAAAGGGGACAGAAAGAAACCACTCTTAGAGCAGGGCAGTAGGTCACAGAGTCTTTTAATCATTAGTTCTTTAAAATGGTTTGATTTTAAAAACACTGAAAGCTCACAGATTTTGCGTGTTTTGGTAGAGAGCTGAGCTTTGCCCAGCACACAGCTCTTTTAGCTCAACTGTAGCCTCTGCTGGATCATCCCAGTGTTGCAGATCATTAACTGATTTTTAAATGGCTGTTAAGAATGTGAAAAGAAGAATTGCACTGTTAGTGGTCCCACTGCAATACCAGAGTAAATTCAGAATAAAATTAATGTCTTTTAATGTAAGAAATATTCAGTTGTGACATCATGCTGGATATCACACTGTGCCGTGCTCACTGATGTAGCCCAGGAACTGTACTTTCTGTATTGAATAACGTAATAGAACTAAAACACTTGGTGAGGTTTTTTAACTTTTTGAATTTTTTTTATGGATGTGGATGGAAATATCTTCTTCACACCTCTGGAAGTGCAAAGGACTCTGTAGATGCTGTACATTCAAAGGCATGACATAGAAGGTGGCCTGTACTTCTCAGACTTGCTGTTCTGTGTTTCTGCTTTTCTATGGATGAGAGAATAATTGATTGCTTCAGGACCCTGTATAAGCATCTTCTGACAAAAATTGCACTTGGCTGGGGAGCATGGGACCTGTGATGAGATTTCAAGAGCAAGCAGGCGCTGCTGAGTGGGTGGCAGGGAGCTGAGTGATGTCCTGGAGACATTCAGTGGCAGCAATGCAGAAGTAAAACTATCCTGCTGTGAAACAGTATAGGCAGATCTTAATTTTCTCCTTCTCCCTTCCCTGCAAATACTTGTGCAGATGTCAAAGTTATTTGCTAAAATCAATATACAGGTGAGCAGGAGGCCTGTTGCCTTCTCCTTATTGGATCTCCCATATGTTGTGGAGGGTTTGGGCTGGGAGAACATCCACGCATGTGTCTGGAGGTGAGAAATGAAAGTCCTCTCTGTTCCCACGCTGATTTGACTTACCATTTCAGATTAAAAATTCTCTAATGTTTACATGACAACTGTACCTATACTCAAACTCTTTGGATTAAGTAGTGCTGAAAAGATCACCTCAAGGTGTTGCTAAGTCTTACTCCTTTACAGGATAAATCACTTATATTTATGACTGGATAAATAGCATACTTTTTTTTTCTGAGACTGTTCCATTTAGTAATTTTAATGTTTTGTTTACATAAAAAAGTAGGATTTGGAAAATCATCAGTGTGAGAGTGTCACTCTAAATTCAACATTCAGTCCAAATTAAATCTTACTTAAAAACTTGGTTTTAGCAATTTTATATTCTTGGAAGTGACAGCACACATCTGCAATACTATAATTACATTATAGCCTTGCTTACTAAAATACCTCAAAAGAACGGAAATAACATTGCCGTTAAAATATACTTTGTCTGTAAGAAGAACTTGAATAGTTTGTATAATAAGAAATGTCTATAAAATAATTCTTCCTATTTATTGTCTGTAATTGGAGACAATGTCACTGAATGTTATGATGTCATTAGAACATGTGCACATTTTTCACCTTGTATCTCCAGGAAAAAGGTCTGACCTTTCAAAGTATGCTGTTCAACATCAGACCACTCAAAGCTGCTGTCCACTGAGCTTGTAGAGTGCATCTTCAAATACATTACTGAATGGAGCAGAAGTCTAATATTTTTTCCCCAAGCTTGAAGAAGCAATTTGCAATGCCCATACTGCAATTTGTAACAGAAGGTAGCTGAGTAATAACCTTCAGTGGGGTTTTGTTAAGGTTTGCCAGAATTTGCTGGAGTGGGCTGGCAAACTGGCCACGGGAGCTGAGGTTCTTCCCATTAGTGCCAGTTGGTGCTGTGGTTTGTAACACAGTCCTTGGCCTCCAAATTTCCACTGGGCTAGAAGTGGGTGGGGGTGGGAATTGGTCATTCCCAAATTCCAGGATTACACTCCTTTTTTTAATGTGGTGTCTAGAGGCATAACCAATCGGCTGAAATCTTTTCTCCAGTCAGTAAAATGTGTACCTTTTATTGCTGAAACACATTAAGGCACTTTTCTGGCATGTGGAAAGTCTGACATCTGGGTTCAATTCTGTCTTCAAACCTGGCAAAATGCAGGCTGAGCTCAGATTTCACTGCAGAGTATAAAATTCTATGTTGTTATGCAGTATAGCCAGACTTTCTCTTGAAAAGCCATATTTCAGCATAGATGCATCTTTGCAAGAGAAAATCCCAAATGACAGGTATATTCTGGTACAGAATTACATGCTCTGTGAAGGAATCATAGTGTTGCTTGTGCCTCACTTTGTGCTTTTCATCAGCTTAGGACGGTAGGCCTCAGGATATAAAAGGTGTAGTGTTTCTCAGTGGAGCTCCTCAGTAACGATGCTAAGGTTGATTCCAAGTTTTTGCAATCTGTCTCTGCATTTAAAGAACTGCCTCTTGAATTGGCACTTTCACTGTTGGTAGGTAAATGGCTTCCACAGTTAGAGACATTTAGGATCTTTATTCTGTTGTGCATAGATGCTTCAGTGGTACAGGGGGGCACCATATGATGAATGAAGCTGTACATTTTACTGTGGTACTTCAGTCTTAGAAATGAAAGCATGATCTGCTGGGGGAGGACTCTATTAAGTTGCTTCAGTGTACATAACAGTGTACATAACATTTATGTTATAACTTCATTATATTTATGTTATAACTTCAGTGTACATAACATTTATGGCCACAGGGGCAACAACTGAGTAACCTTACCTGGTTGAAATCATGTGCAGACCTGATTGGAATAAATTATTTTAGCTCTATTAAAGTTGCAACAGGAACAATTTTCCACCAGCTGACCCTTTTTAAGACTCCTTCAGGTTTTTATCAGGTTCTTTCTAAACTGGACTGAAACAGACTACTCCCTCCCAAGCTGTTTTATGTTGTGTGCTCAGCCTAGTAGTTAATCAGATGTACAACAACTTTGTGCAGAATTAATGCAGCGTGCTCAGGGGTTGAAGGCATTTAGGAGAGGAGCACTGGGGCTGGGGTTTCTGTGCTGGGGCAGCTGTGACCGGGGGGCACCTGGTCTGTACTAGCCCTGGGCTAATGCTGCCCAGCTACACATCACAGTGAAAAGACTAAAATGGGGGATTAGATATCCTCTAAACAATTCCTATAAAACTACCGAACAGCTATGATGCTTCAAAAAACTGCAATTGAATTTTCATATGCCACCTTTCATTCTAACCAATCTTATTGTAAAGTTGATATATGCAGCAGCTGAAGGCACTTACTGCACATTAATTTTTATTGGTGTATGTACAACTGTATTCTTCCAAATGCAAAAATGACTTGAATTCACCTTCTTAACAGACAATGGAAGGAAAATTCAGACTTCTATGCATGAGAATTTGTAGAAAGTTAACTTGGATTTTACAGAAATGAATATTTTCCCTCAAAATTATTTATAATAAAAATTATATTTATTCTGCCAAATAACAGAATTGATATTGTGTTATCCATTGCAATTTGAACTCTTTAGGTTCAAAAACCCCAAATACATCAGGATGAAGTTAGTAGCCAAAGAAGGTAGCTGTTTGATAAATAATTCAGCATAGAGTTTTATTTCATAGAATCACAGAATTGTAGAATCGTAGAATGGTTTGGGTTGGAAGGGACCTTAAAGCCCATCCAGTCCCACCCCCCTGCCCCAGGCAGGGACACCTTCCACTAGCCCAGGTTGCCCAAAGCCCCGTCCAACCTGGCCTTGAACCCTTCCAGGGAGGGGGCAGCCACAGCTGCTCTGGGCAACCTGTGCCAGGGCCTCACCACCCTCACAGGGAAGAATTTCTTCCTTACATCTAATCTTTCAGTTTAAAACCATTACCTCTCCTCCTATCCCTACACTGCCTCAGAGAGTCCCTCCCCACCTTTCCTGTAGGCCCTCTTTAAGTACTGGAAGGAATTTCTTTGTTAACTAGGTTGTCTGGACATACTAAATCCAGGGAAATAGAGAGGACTGAACTGTTCATTTTGGACAACGTACAGATTTCTAGCATATCTGAGAAATGCAATGGTTTAGGGTAGAATGTGTCAGAAAAGTGGTTTTCTTATGAAATGACAAAAACTATTCTATGTTCTTCCAAAGTGTAGGAACCTAACTGAGAAATGTTCTGAAACAATCCCTTTTAAATGGCAGTGAAACAGGGAGGGATTTAATGCTTCTCAGTGGACATACTGGCTGAGACAGGGAAAGACAGGGAGGTTTTAAATATGAAAACTAATCCTCATCTCTTGAGCAACAGCAAGAATATTCCTAAAGGTATACTAGGACATAATGCTTGGCAGAAAGGGGAGGGCCACTCCAAAATTCAAGTGCTGTTTTTGTTGCTCTAGTCTGCCTCTTGAATTTGTCCAGACTAGCAGAGGGGAGAGAGGGAGTGGAAAAAATCCCCCTCTCGTGTCCATTGCAGCTGGATCATCCAGGCTGTGGCATGTTTTGTGCTGAGAAGGAAGCATGGGGCAGTTCGTAACTTGTTCTCCTGCCATCTGTGGGCGTTCTTTCCAAACTTGTACACCAGCCTTCTGTCCACTCGTTCCAAAATGCCGATTTTATAATAGTAACTGCAGGGGTGAAAAGAAACAAAGCAGTGGAGAAAGCAGTATAAGTCACACTAGAGGAGTTCTTTACATGGACTTGCAGCAGAACTCACAGAGTCACTGTGTTCTTCACAGTCAGAGGGATCCTCACTGTTAAATTACTCTTCTGACTTTAAGGAGCTTTAAAATTTCCCATGTGCCGTGGGTATGCCTTCCAGTGTTTGAAAAATGAAAGAATTACAAAGAAATGTGTTCTTTGGTTGGTTATATTTTTCCTGTTAGATTACCACAGTTTCAGAAGTTTGCCAGTGTTACTGCTCCAGCAAAAAGGGTCATTCTGTGAGTGGTCACTTGGCAAAATTCTCAACTGAGGTAAAGTGTGACAGCTTTGTTGTCATCAGTAGAGTTACAACTCTACTGGTTTACATTTAGCCCTGTGTTACTGTTTAGAAACAAAGGAAACTGGGTTCTATTTCACGATCTATAGAATAAACATGAAGAAAATAACCAGACACCCTGCACCTACCACCCCCCAACACACACCCACACCCCCCTAAGTTTTCAAGATTGTTCTGAAAAATGGATGCTGAGGTAGAAGTCAACTGAAATGAGGAGCCCTGTTGCCTGTTAACTCATCGGAGAGATCTGCTCAATTTTTCATATGTCATTTTTCTTCCTTTGTCCCCACATCTTTGCCAAAGCTTCTGATTTAACAACCAAAAAAATGTCTTGTCCCCTGTCTTCCCATTCCAGCATGCCACCATTTTCTTCAGGAGAAAGGAGCAAATCTCTTACAAATTCCCACAAATGAGAATTCTGCAAGTCTTGAACAGGAAGAAGACAGATATTTAGTTCATGTTTTATTACTCATGCCAAAGTACTAAGGCATAGTTGTATTTACAGTTTGTTATCAGGTTGTCAACCTCACAAACCAATTGCACTTATCTCAATTCAGCTTTCAAAATTTTTGTGCATTGCTCCTCTGTAACTGGATCCAAACTACTTGCCTTAAAAAAAAAAAAAGAAAAAAAAAAAAGGGTCATGCAAATACCTGTGATGGTAGAGTCTGTTTTTTTACTCCAGAAACTAGTGAATTTTACTGTCTTGCAAAGTTTATATCATTCATAGTTTCTGTTCCAGGTCATCAATGACTTCAACACAGTATTTAACTTGAAGTTTTGAAAGTAATTTTCAAGTTAAAGTGTTTTAAGTGAAAGATTGCAACAAACATTGGCTTGCCTGAAAATGAGACAATAATATGAGGAGTTTTAAAGCCTATTTCCCATCATTTCTAGATCTCCTCTGTTATTACAAGTCAGTTCAAAAGTTTGTTTTAGCATCAGATGTTGTAGAAATAATGGGGCTTAAATAAACAAGCCAGCAGAACTGTTAGATGCATCTATTTCTTTAACTTCAGATTAGTTACTAGCTAATCAAGCTGCTGGGAATTAAATGAATGTTCAATCCCAACACTGATCACAAGCATTTAAAAATAATGTCAGACCCCACACACACCCACACAAATTCTGAGAGCAACATAAGAATAACGACAATTATAAAAATATTTGGGGTTTCTTATTTGTTTTCCTGCATTTAAAATCTTTTGGTTATTTTCAGCTTATGTTTTTCCAGTAACTCTTCCACTAAAATAGCAAGAAGCCCTTTCAAAAGGTAAACAGAAAAGGAAATGTGGCTTTAAGAAAAGTACCTCGTACCTCAAGTCTCATGATCAAATCATGAGAGCTGGCAGAACTTAAAAGCCAAACCTCCGTGAAATTTTATTTGTTTGTGGTGTTGTTAAAGTTTCTTTTGATAACCACATGTAGCTGGAGAATTAGAGCAACATAACCTGTGTAATCTTAACTCCAGGTTTGAGTTTCTGATGTGTACTTGTTCTATCACGACTGTGACTGTCTTGGCCGTTGATGTTACCTGCCCTCATGCCTTCCTTATCTCAGGGTGGGACTGAACAGCAGAATAACATGGTGAGAAGTGAAGAAGGAACTCCTGAGTCTGGCGGCAACTTGGTCAAAAGGTCATCTATTCAAACGCCATGAACATGAAGTCAAAGTGGGACTGTGAGCTACTATCTCTTTAATAAAGCTCTAGCACAAGGTAAACCCAAGTGAATAATTAACACCCAGCTGTATGGATTGCAGCACAACAAAACATGACTTTTTTTGTCAATGCTCTGTTCAAAATACTTGGATTCTGTAGGTATGTGGAATTTGGTGCATGGTGTGCATGGATGAAATGTACCCTTCTGCTATGTGCAGCCAGCAGATTTCTTGGCTTAGTGATGTGCAGTGCTTCTAAAAAGTCAAAATGGCCTCAGCAGACAACATGCTTGCAGAGGGGACCAACACTTCAGCACTGTCTGTCTCAGTATTGTAATAGTGCAGACAACAATTAGAAGAGGATAATGAATGACAGCAACTGGAATGATTATCAAAGTCTGCTAACAACACTTGTATGCAACCACAGAATCATAGACTAGCTTGGGTCAGAAGGGACCTACAAATGTCATCTAGTCCAAGCTCCTGCAATGAACAGGGACATTTTCAGCTACATCAGGTTGCTCAGAGCCCATCCAACCTGACCTTGAATGTTTCAGGGATGGGGCATTCAGTACCTCTCTGGGCAACCTGTTCTGGTGTTTTACCACTCCAGTGGTTACAAAAAAATTGTATCTGCTTGGTACACATCTAGCGAGAAGGGTGATCATCTGTGACATCCTGTGGGAGTGACTACAAAGTGAAGAACCACAAATCCATTTTACTGGATAAATGGCAGTGGGCTAAAAATAACAAAATAGGGGAACTTTTGTGAAAATGGGCTTTAGTTTTATATTCTTATATCCCATTGTGTTTATGTTTCTAAGAGCTGACCTCTAAGAGTTTATTTTGCTGCATGTGAAACCATAATACTCACAAAAAGATGGAAGCAAGATGTCTGTGTACATGCAGGGCTACCTGAAGGCCTTATGCTTTCAGTTATGAAGGTTTCATAGCGTATTCAGAGTCTGCTGCTGGCCCAGAAGAGCATCAGCTAGAATTGGTAAAACAGTATTCTGGGATTCTTTTTTGGGATTTTTTTTTTTTTTTTTTTTTTGACTGCTTCTTTTCATATCGATGAATTTGTTCAGTATTCTTTTATTGGCTGAAGGGTTTGACCAAGGGAGTATCCCAAATTGCCTAAATCCTAATGTAGAATTCAGGTAAATTCAGCCAGCAGCACTAATGTCCCAGAGCCCATCAAGAGTTATTAGATTATTAGTGCTGGTTAATGCTAGTGACCACAGAACCAAGTGACCACAGAATATTCTGATTGTGTCTAGATGTAATCAGACACCTGATATTTTGCTACTTTTACCCATTTGCCTCCTCAGCAGATAAATAACAAGCTCAACGGTGTTTAAGATCAACAGGATCTGTATTTCTGACTGTGTATTAGTCCACCATACTACCTCCCACAAAAATTCAAAGCATTCTCATGGAAATGAAGCTGTGCTTCTGCCGTTTTGGAATCTATGGACAAAAGAACATCTTTGCTCTGCTCAGTACCTGGCTTGCAGCCTCAGTGAATGTACACAGCCTCCTGGGATCCTGCTTCTCTTCAAAATACCAATTCAGAAATGTTGGGATCTCTGCTAATCACTACTTCTCTACATACTGCAGATATTTCAAGATAAACATTAGAGAAGAAGTATTTAAATGGCCTGGATATTTTTTTTTTCATTTTTAGAAATGTCTTGAACTGCTAAATATTGCTAAGCTTTGAATATAGTGTCTCCTGTTGAGTGGAGAATATTATGTACAAACAAGCTGACTTACAGTCCTTGGATGGCTTTGTTTCTTCTGCACCAGTAAAAAAAAGAAATGCCTAAAAGGGAAAAACATAACCCAGTGTTCACAAGAATAACTTCTGAACTGAAGTTTAAAGCCAAGTCCTGGCCCTTTGCAGCTTTGCTTATTAATGTAGTTCAGAACAGAAGTTGTAAAGAACATGCAGACTATAAATCCATGAAGTAAGTTTTCAACTTACCTGCTGCTAAAATTATTTGTCTCTCCCACTACTCTGACTATGTCTGAGGGTTGGGGGGTTTTTTAACTTTTGGGATTTTTTTCACATGTATTAAGTTTCCTTTCCCTCTGGTCCCTTTCCATTTGTTTTTTGCTGTCATCTATATCACAGTTTCTTTCCCTTTCTTTACACTTAGTTGGTCCTTTCTCATTCAGCCCCTGTCCCTTTAAAACTACTCCTGCAGTCTTCCCTGCCTCCTTCCTCTAAGCGAAAATCATCTCTACTGCTGGAAATCAGATCTTCACATGGCTGGATCTTGTCTGTTTTAGTAGGACAGCATCACCTTTTAAAGGAGTCATTACATTCATAAATAAATGCGTTGCACATACAAATCTGCTTTCAATGAACTTAATTCATGTTGTGAGTTGGGCATGCAAAGTTGGGAAAAGACAGAATGAAGCCTGCTTGTGCAGCCATAGTTTGGTCCATTGGTATGTTGTGGCAAGGTCTTGAATTACTGGACTACATACTGCCTTTCCTCACAGGCCTTGTGCAGTTCATAAAAGTGGATATGCACGAGCTGTTGTATTAAATTTACTGCCAAGCGTTCAATCTCTGCACTGACTATAAATGTTCATTTTATTAATGAGCTTTTCTCCCCAGCTCTGTATTCTTTAATTCCCTTAATAACATCCTTATCTCCCTTAATAACATCCTTATCTCCTGCATTCAATAATCTCCCTCTGAATGACCTCTGAATGACCTGTCTGACATGATACAGGAATACTGGGTGGAAGACAGAGATGACAGTCCCACAGGAGAGCAGTGCCAGCCTAAAACACAGGGTTCTTCTGTTCTTCCAGGAGCCTCCAGTCTTTCTCACCTCTCCCAGTCTTACCCGTCCTAGTGACCACAGTCTCAGTCACTGCACAACCCTACTTCATTTTGATAAGGCTTATCCACATATTTTCTTAGGCACTGCCCTGTCCCTGCTCTTCCCAGTATCTCAGTGCTCCTGTTCCTTTCCGCTTCAGCCTTCCCCCACTCCATGGTCACCATGTACCAGGTCACCCTCCACTGTCGCCCCCTCCCTTTCTGGTCCCTGTGCCTCACCAGCCGCTCTCCCCTGGGCAGCTGAGGTGGGTGAGGTGGCCAAGCTCCGGCACATGTAGCCCAGCAGCTGCTTGCCATTAGGAGCTGCTGGCAGTGACAGCTCCCTCAGGACCCTCCAGGACTTGCACGCCCAAGACTTCTGTTCTTTTACAGCAGCCCTGTGGCTCCAGTTTGGTTAAATACTCCCCTAAGCCAGAGAAGGCTTGAGCCATTGAGGGCTCCAAGCAGCTGAAATGCTCCTCAGTTTCTCATTGCTAGAGCATAGGGCAATGACCTTCGGAATCTCCCTGCTTAGTGGAAACTCTCTTGCTCATAACCTCACAATGGACCCTTGTGGAATTACCCTAGCTTGGGGTACACACTAGTAGTCTTTGGGGAAGAGTGAATATAGAGTAAGGGTGTCTGCAGCAGAGATTTCACTATTTCCCTTAGAAAAAACTGTCAATAAAATAGTTTTTGAACCTAAATTCATTTAAGCAGTAATATATCTTCCAAGACAAGGTTGAAAATTGTAAATTAAAATTGTTTCCATACAAGAACATCACTAAGCATACCACTAATGAGGTGGATTAGCAGTGTGTACTGCAGTGTTAATAACCCCATAAAAGAAAACTTCTTGCTTACTCTTTAAGAAGCAGAGCAACCTTCATGACTTTGAGTTACAGGAATAACAATGTGTTACGGCTTTCTGTATCCAGTCAGGATATAAACCTGGATGATGCCAACTGACCAGTTTCAGTAGAAAGGCCAAGGAGAGAGCAGTGCTTGGGATCTGTTTGGAGGTTTGACTGGCTCACAGAAACGAGCCTGGTCTGCGTGGGATTGTGAAGCACAAAGTCGCACTGAGCTGGTCTTCTTCCTGCCCTATTTCTGTGTGCTTCTCAATGCAGTATCTAAGCTGCCCCTGGGTTTTGCCTTTCTTCAGTGCTCAAGGCTGTGGGTCCCTCATTTTCTGTTAACATGAAATTCACACAAAAACGCAATGCTTTTTGTTTTGCATTTGATTTCTGCGATACTAACCATACATCTTCATATTCTGTAAGATAAAATACAAGTATTTGCCACAAATGACATGTAGGAAGTGTTCCTGGGTCATAATGCACAACTGTAAGCTGCTGATTTTAAAGTGGGAAAAGGAAATGCAGTTGGCATCCAGTTTTTACTGGTCACAGCAAAACTGCAACCATTCACAGACATTGCACTTTCTCCAGTATTCTGGGTGGATGGATGTCCAGGAAGAATAAGAATCTACAACACAGTTGACAAGAAAGAGGAACATTGCAATGCAAAGCTTACAGTGCACTTCATTTTAATAAGCATATATTTGAAGGAAAACTTATCCCTCTTCCTTCTTCTCTTATGACTGCAGTCTTCCTTCCTTATTCCTCTAGAACACATCAGACCCTGCCTTTTGTGGTTTTCTGTCTCCTATTGTCACAGGCTTTTGTATTTTAAATATTCACATTAATTGTGTGAGGCATTTCAAGAGAAAGTGCTTACATGTGAAAAAATAGAAAATGCACCTCTTAAAATGGAATTCAAAAAATTTTAAAGAGATCAGAGTACAGAACTTGTGAGAACTTAACAGTCTGTGATAAAAAGGAGTGGTGTGTTCCTAGGCTAAAATAACCTCGGGTCTTAGATGTGAAAGTACTCTCATTCAAAGACACCTAACTACACTCTGTGGCAGATGGCTAAATACCATTAATTTATTATTATTTTTCTCATAATTCCAGCAAGTTCTTTTGCTCCTTTCATCTAAAATAATGTTGTTAATTTTGTCATAGGGAATATTTTTTTGTTAGATTAGAAAATGAAAAATGTCTTACTCTTAACACACTTATCTTCACTGGAGAAATATTTCTCACAGGTCAAAGGAAGAGTGGAAGAGCTTCTAAGTAAACCTGACAATCAATTGTAACCTAAAACTACTTGCCAATTAAATGCCCAATTTTTTAACAGGCTTATCTCCTTACCAATGCAGTTACCAGAAAGATGTGTGGAAACCTGCAACAAACATTGTGTTTCATTCTATAAAAAACATGTTTTAACTATTACTGATGTAAATTCTAGGTCTGGTATGATAAATGTATATGCTGTAGCTCACAAGCGTAATCTGTGACTCACACACTTTTTCTCTGAGATAGAAATACAGGCTCCTATTACTGAAGCTGCTTGGGCTTATAGTGACGGGCACACTCTTCGAAAAGCTCTGCTTTTTCTTTCTGTGAGCTAGGCTGACACATGCATGAGAAGGTCTGATCTTGCAGTCTTCTTATGTTGATGATTGGAAGAATTACAGGTAATGGCAAGAATGTCCTTTCTGTATCCATTCAGATAACATTTGGGGGAAACAGAATTCAAGTCTGCATCTTCAAATCATAATTTTCATTAACTCGTTACTCAGTTTACTTCTATTGTTTTAAGCCTTTAAAGATGACTAATTCCTCTCAGGTGAGATTCTCAAGCAGCTACAGAAATCTCAGCCTTGAGATATTATTGCTTTAGGAGTTTTAAGGATTCTAAATTGATTTTGACTATCTGTAATATTTATTATAACACTGGAATGGCACAGTTACAAACAGTAAATAGCAACAGAAAGTCAATCAAATACATGAATAAGAATACTGTAAAGAAATCAGAAAAGGTTAAATTTATTTTCACATCTCAGCATCATACATTTGACTTCTACTTCACAATGTCTTAGTCCAGTCATCCGTTATTTATTATTTATTTTTTCCAGTGCATCCTGAACAGTTCATTTTAGGCATTGCTTATGTGTTGTAATTCAAAATAGGTTATGATAACCAAGTGAAACAAGTGAAAAAACAAGTGAATTGTATGTGTCTAGACAGCCAGTTCAGGGCGCAAAATGATGCAAATAGGCTGGATCGGTTTCCATAGTAAAATTAATTCAAAGAGTTCAAAATTGTGACAGAATAACTGAAATATGGATCTTACATCCTACATGGCTTCTGTAAAGTTATTAATACTTGTAATTATAGGTCCTAAAAGTTTACAGAGGAATTTGTGGTCCCTTTCATGAATCATTCCCATGCTATAAATATCTCCATATGTATGCACATACAGAATTAATGTAATAGTGAATGCTGTGTTTTCAATGCTGAGATGCTGCTGTGACATCCCAGCAAAGGCAAGAGGTGGGCAGAAGCTATGGTCTGACTTTTGGAACCTACACCTTGAGGATATTTGAATCTCAGATTTTATTCACCTCCTTATTTAAAAGGAAAATCAGATGAGCTTGACATTGGATTGGCTTTATGAGCCGTGCAGACTGCGCACACCTGGCTATGTCAGAGTCTGAAGGCTTCCCTGGGGGAGAATGGGAATGCTGGGAGCATCAGGCTCACTAGGCTTCTGCCAGGGCAAAAAATTTTTAAAAAGCAAGCTTTAAAATTAGGCTTGAGCTCTACGTGAATCCCAAATTCAGAAGCTGTTCAAGAAAAGCAGAAGGCTGAACTCATCTCTTTCTGAACCAGTCATGCTTTTTTTTTTTTTTTTTTAATCCTCTGCCAACGGCCTCCAGCCCCCCTTAGAAAAGGCTGTGGGGCCTCCCTGCAGGGCTGGCAGTGAAGCCAGCCCCATGTTCCATGGGCCACTCCTGAGCTGCTGCACCAAGTGAGCCCAGACCTCCTCACTGTATCCCATGGCAAACACAGCCATGGGACAAGGTCATGGCTTTGCTTACAAGAGCGTTGGATTGCTCATTTTTTGTCTATCTTAAGTCAGCATGAAAGCAAAGCAAAACTATTTATTCTGCCATCCCACAGGCACAGTGAAAAACCTTGAAATATTTTGGCCATTGGGCTTGAAACTTTGACTTGATTGTGATAAATATCAGCTTTGCTGCCAATATTTATATTGTCATATAAATGTCACAGCATGCATCTTTCATGGAACAGCACTCATCTGATCCAGTTTGCTTGTCTGCTTTAGCATTGGAAAGACTCTTATTTTTAATTTTTTTAATATTCCAGGGCCTCCTGAAGTACTGTTGTATATGACGAGCATTTAAAAGGTGCTGAAACCAAGACTTTACCTTTGTATGTGCTCTCACCTTTTATTTCTCATATCAGAGTTAAGTATTCAGGGACCTTTCCTGTCTTCTAAATGATGGACATGAACCAAGGTATTATGCCACTGTGGAAGAAAAGATCAGCCAAAACCAATGGCTCGACAAAAGATTTTCAGGTTTTCTTTTAGAGAAGAAGAAATGGGCAGGCAGAATTTTATACCACCATAAAAAACCTAAGGGCAAAAGATATGCAGAAAGGTAAGGTGGGCACAGGTAGATCCCCCAGTGACAGGAACATGCCAGAAATGGGCCTAAAACTACAACTTGAGAGCAAGGGAGGAGGATACCTGGCAGGATGAGGGTGGGTAGCTGAGGGTGCAGAAAGGACAGAATTCAGACCTTGCCCTTTCCATCATTTTAAGGTGATTTCCACTGCCTGTTCAGCAGCACTGACTATCTTGTACTTCTTGAGCATGGGTATTTAAAGCCTGACAGGGTCCAGCCCTCAGGGAATGGCCTTTGTTGACATAGTCTTCGAAGACTGCACAGGTTGTTTCAATCAGTAACTTGATTCCTGTCCCCTTAGTAGCTAAAGGGACACTACCAAAATGCCTTGCAGGGGATGTGGTTTTGTTGATGGTGACAAGCAAAGCTGTGGAAGGCAGTAAATCTCAAGCAGGTTCAGGATCCCAAGCCAAATCAAAGACAGCTAGATTTTCCTGGGATGCAGTGATTTCTGCATGGCATATGCAGGCAAGCTAATATAGAATGTGTGCTTAAAATTGGGGGGAAATACTGTATCAGCCACAGCAAAATTGTGTGGTCTGTTTATAACAGTTTTAATATAGGGCAAGCAGATCATTCCTATATAATCTGGCCCACCTTCTTGTCATTTGGGAAATATACACTTCATTTAGGCATAACATTTTAATTTTTGAAGCCAGAATTTCTGTATATTTCCATATTATTTTCCCTTTTTTCATCCAGTGCTGGAAAACAGAAGAAATGAAAATGACACAATATTTTTAGTGTCACAGATTTTAACTTCCTCTACTTTGTATTAAGAAAAAAGAATGCTCCCAAATAAAAATCCTGATAGATTCTGATTGCCAGAAATACAAAAACATTAAACTGACCAATGTGGGAACTGTAAGGGCAAACTAACCCTACAGTTCTTCTCACAGGAACCTGGAGATTGCTGCACTGTCCCAGACTAAGGTCCCTGTAAGCCAGGGCCCTGCCTCTGATCGGGTCTACTGGAACAATTTCACATTTTTGGAAAAAATATTATAGAAAGTTACTACTTTGGGCTTGTACATAAAAACACTAGTGCTCTTTCTAGCACAGGATCTGAGCCTGATGATAGCCTGTAAATCTCCATCTGTTTTTTTCTAGGCAGTTTCTTCCTAGGACATCACTTTTGCATCTGTTTAACCTTGAGTCTCCACTTTGTTTCTAGCAAGTGCAAAACAGGTTTTCAAAATGCACAGGGATCACAATCCTTAAACCTATTACTGTCACCAGAAGAAAGTGTGGCTTTAATGTTATGATGCTGACCTAGATTCTTTTCTGGCTTCAGAGCAAAGTGCTTACTTTTCTGTTCAAGGGCTGCTTGTGCCATGCTGATGGTACTGCAGTAGTGGCTTTACTTGTGTGTGCTAGACATGTTAAATGTACTCCTTGGCTACTGTGGAAGGAATGATAAGAGAACTCACAGGTTGGTTTAAATTTGCCTCAGGAGAGAAATTATTACAACCATGAAGGACTCCTGGAAAGCCTAAAAGCATCAAAAATTGAGCAATAGGAAACGAGTGGAGAAAGAAACATAGCTCCTACCCTGGTCAGAAAATGCTCATTACTTCCACAGCTCAGCTTTGCTTAGCCAGAGGCAGTCTGAGCTGGTTGTTGCACAAAGCCGTGTGTCTTAAGAGCTGAGGGTGAAGGGAAGCTCCTACAAGTATACTTGAAATTGCTGATATTCAGGGACCTGTAAAATAGGACATCTAGTTTTAATGTTAAACATCACTTATGTTTTACTAGCTTTTATTTTTTTTCCCCTTTTTCAGAATTTTACTGCAATGTATATAATTTCATTTATACGTTTTTCTAACTACCCTCTGTAGTCATTACCCAGTTACCCAGTTATAAGATGTTTTAAAATTAACTCCTTGCCGAGTAAAGATAAGACAGACCTTGGACAGTCTGAAAAAGTCCCCGAGTACATCCCTGATAGCAGGAAACTAAAGAAAACAAAGACCTAAGAAGACGCCATTATCAAGATAAGTGCTCAAAGCTGGAACAAACGGGGGCTGAAGGACGGATGAGGTCACTCCATGAGCATGTACGGACACGAGAGAGAAACCTGAAGTTCACTAAGGGACAGCGTGAGAACGGCTGCGGGGACACCTAAGGAAGGGAGAAGACCCTCACTCCATTTTTACTACACATGCTCAAACTATGTAAATGAATTCTGAGAATCCATTAGCATAAGACTGCCTTTTCTAAGAAATCTGATGCATATGTATGCTTTTTGTGTATATTAGAGAGTTTTGTTAGTAAGCGTGGCACTTGTGGCCCAGTGCTGTGAATAAAGAATCCCTGCTGAGCAGTTATACTCAGTTCTGACTGTGGAGCGAAGCTCTTTGTTTCAAGAGAGCTTTGCACTTAGCTACAAGTGGAGTTCAATTTACCATAATGGCTGGGGTACAGATGCTGCAGCACTGTTCACCTGGACGAATTCAGAGCTGAGCAGGTGTAGGGTCACAGACCTTACACTGTAGACAAGTAACAGCCTGCAGTAAAGCCAGAAATTGTCAAAATGCCTCAAACAAGCTGCTTTACCTTTGGCGAATGCGGATCTGCTGGTATCATAAATTCCCTTGGGATTATTTCAGTTTCACTGTTGTGGGTTTTGTATTCGGCATTGGTTTTGTTTTAAAAATTGGAAGAAGATTGAATAACAGGGAAATCTATAATAAAGATTAAGGCACAAGAAGAATTATTATTCTGACTGATCCAAAATCAGCTTTAAATTACATCACATCAGATATTTTAAAAATGCATGTTTAAATTCTAAAACAGAATACTTTCTGTGATTTCAAATTAAATTTAGAATTGTGTTCTAAATTGGAATGAAAACAAATACTAAAACGATATGTTTTTAAAAAAAAAAAAAAAAAAATCAGTTCCTGCAGGGCTTTAAATACAGTCATTTAGTTGAAACAAGACGATTTATATTCTACCTTGTATGTCAAATTTAGCAATATAGAAACAAACACTGTACTCTCAGTGGTCATGGGTTAGCACCATCAGAAGCCACGCAAAAAGTTCTGGTTTTTATTACTCAAACTGTGCCTTGGCAGGAAAGGGTTTTTTTCCCTAAGACCAGCAGTGTTCTCATGTAAAAGGACAAAAATAACTTTGGAAGAGAAAAAAGTTGCATAAAACCCTATTTTTTGCCAGTTCTCACCAGAAGTTTGGCTCAGATACATGAGTGGTTTGTGCTACCTTTCTCTTCAGAGCCTGTTCACAGAAGAATATCAGGACTGTTTAGGAATTTAAGCCAACTGTTTAGAAGGGAGAAGATTTCTGACAAGTAACACTTAATTAAGCTTCTGAAGAGGGACCTCGCCTGACATCAGGACATTTGTCATGAGTTCCTTCAGAGTTGGGATCCCCACATGAGATACATGTCCTGATAAAGCATAGGGTTTCCATGTGCACAGTTAGAGGATTGCATGCTTAACGTTGGCAGGTTCTGCAGTGGGGAACTCTTGTGTTATTAGGGTGCATTTCTACAGGCATACACTTCTCTGGTGGCTTTCAGAATACTATTTTTTGCCAGTTTAGTGTGTATGTATCTGGTCACTGCTATTCATTACAAAGTTGCAGAGCATCTGAGGGACTGTAAATCTCCCAAATTAAATTACCCCTCTGTTATAGAGCTGAAGTGCTGGGTATGTTTTCAGTGACAAATGCTGGAGTTCAAGCAGATGAGGTAAAAAAAAGGAGTCAAGAATCTGAAGCCACAGTTATCCTGCTCCTCTTAATGAACCATGCTCTCCTTTGGAAGTTCCTGTCCATATTAAGTGCATCATCTTTTCAAAGGAGGGGAAAGCATCACTTCAGCACCACACATAACAGAACCACAGCCACTACTTGTTACTACTCTTCCTGTGCACCTTTATTTGTATGGCCAGTGATATACTTGAAAAGGTCGGTAAGACTAGAAAATAGTATGCATACAGAAGAAGGCTCAGCAGAAGGTTCACAATCCTTAGCCTGATTTCTGCATGATTAATCTTCAAAGAATTAAATTCAAATCACCCCTGAGTTTTTGCACATTGTATGTTTTTATTCTATTGGAGTCTATCTACATACCTTTCTGATGATCACAGGTGGTGTAGTCATCTTCAGTTGTCCCAAATAACTCTGTCCAAGACAATAGAGAAACACAAACTGTTGTGTTTGACAGAAATGTGCTCTGAGTTATTGACTCCAGCAGCACCTTAAGATATTAATACATTAGTTGAAGATGAAAATATAACATTAAGGACTGAAGTTATAAGGCTACAGACATTATTCCCTTGCTGCTTATGTATGGATCTATGAGGTACCATTGCCCAGCATCACCTAAACTTCAGCTGAAGATAATGATGATCTTCTGAAAATTGCAGTGAAGGAAGGAACTGAGAAATTCCAGGAACGATGCAGCTAATGAATATACCATTGGTAGATTTACAAGAAAAATTATTGTAATAACACATTCCTAGGAACTTAATAATGCAAGCTATGTATATAAAAATAAGAGTGAGGAATAAACCATAAAATAATTAGAAACATGTAGTTGAGATTAACATTATGGTTTAATGAAATAATTGGTAAAAATTTTGAGGAAGTCCCCATGCAAATGTATGAGAAAATTTCATTCTGATCATAAGGCTACTCACTTTGTCCATAAAACACTGCCACAGATGTCAGCCAGTCCAGAGCATGAGATTAACAAAGTTTGAGAAAAAAATGTGTTTTCAAAAGAGATTAGAAACTGAGAATAATATGCAGAAAACTGGTTGTATGCTTCAGGGAAGAAGGTTCTTGCGACAAAAGCGAGATGACTGAAGAACAAAGTAGTTGAGAAGTGGTAATATTTCAGTGAAAGAAACAAGTGACTGAGGAAAACATGATTCATGACATGAACTGAAGTAGGTACAGAAGAGAACTTTTGCTCATCCCTTTCTCTTATACATGTATCACACATGTACATATGCACGGATGTCACGGTTCTTTATGACTAAGACTCACAACACCCAAGACCCTAGACCTCCCATAAGAAATTTAGTAGAAGTCGTGATGGTTTAGGAGACTTGAAGGAAAGAATTAAGTGGAATTTAAACTCACAGTTCTTTATGTTCTAGTTCACTTCTGCTTTCCTGTTTGGCAGAGACTGGTAATGTTCCACAGACTCACTGCTGTGAATGCATAAATGGACATAATTGTGGCTCTTTCTTACCTTTCAGACTTCAAACAAAACTGCTCAAGCCAGTTTTGGCTCTTTTGTCCCAACATAAGCTGCTTCTGCCTTTCATAACCAATTCCAGCTTGTGTAATTCCTAGCAGAAAGACACCTGAGATGGTTTGGAGAGTAAGATGATATTAAGTATCAATGTGTAGTCTAAAATTATTAAAAAGTCAAAAACTGTCCAAATAGCTGCATAAACTGAAGAAATGTGAAGGATTCAGAAGTTTTTGATGGATAGATTACTGCATTGAAGGAAAACACTGATTTTAGTCTAAATAAAGCAATGCTAAAATATGGAATGTGGAAACATTTGGGAGGCTTCTGAAATCCTTTAATATACTGGAATTCATATATAGAGCAAGGTAATATTTCAACATCACATTTTCATCTAATCATCCTTATTATAAATAATAATTATGAATGGAACATATGAGAATATAAACTATTAATCATTTTAGTCAATATGGTCAAAAAGTCTATGCATTTTTGCTAAAGGATTTAGTGTAGAATACCTCATACATGTATATGTGTGTAATCGTGCTTTTGGATGAACACCGTATATTCAGTGAGCAATATAGAATTTTAGAAAATTCGTACAAGGCGATTCATATGAAGATTCCAGGTCCTGTCTCCTGTGTAAAAGGATTACAAGAATTTAAGTTTGTAATGGCCCCAATCTGATTTTTTTATTCCTCTCAGTGGCCCACAGAGAGACAAGTTCCCAAAGTCATATTTATTTACAATTTAGAAAGTCAAAACAGTGGCATTTCTGTCAGTTCTGAGTTGCTGTAGAATGTAATCCAGATCTAAATAAGTACAAAATACTTATTTAAACTTTTCTGCAGTTGCTTTAATGCTTAATTCTAATACTTTAACGAGATGGTGCCAGTTTACTATGCAGAGAATTTTCAAATTCATAGGGCCAGGTGGAAAGAGGTCAGTCAACTGTTCTTTACTACAGTGCAAGGGTATTGACCCAAGTATCTCTGCAAAACCCAAGTATCTCTGCAAAACAATGAATTAGAGCTTCACTCAGGCTTACCCATCTATGCAAAAGAAAATATTTGTTTAATACAAAGCTAAAACATTTGTTGCTCTCTTGAAATCAACGGGAATTCTCTCAAGAAAAAAAAATTCACTGCTCATTAATCACCAAGGGGTGGCAGGACAGATACACGCAGAAGAGGCGGACAGAAAGTCACAGAAGAACAGGAAGAGCTGTGAGTCACTGTCAACCCACTTCTATAACGACAGGACATTACCAGAGATGTACCTACATCTGGGCAGTAGACGATCCCAGTTACTACCTCTGAAAAAGATAGAGACCTCCAGGACAGGTGTGATGAGAGGGATCTTCCCAACCATACCCTCTGCAGCCAGCACACTCCTGTTCCTGTAACAGTCATCCCCCCGTGTCATGAACAGCCCTCTGCAAGTACACTCTCGTGCCAACGCCGAGGGCAGAAATAAACTGCTGAAAGCCAACTGTCATTTTGGGGAGAATAGAATATCTCTGCAGATCACTGGAGTGACATGTTTTAAGAATGATTATGAAGATAACCTCTTCAAAGTTATTTTCCCCACTCTATACCTGCCTCCCCATATGTAAGATTTCCCACATATAAGTGTCTGGGATGAAATCTGAGTCCTACTCAAGACAAAAAGGATTCTCCCATCAAATTCACCAAGGACAGAATTTCACAATTTATTCCTACTGGCTGTCTACAGAAAATAATTTATATCTGACAGTTTCACAAGTTTAATAGTTACTTCTTACTAGAAATGCAAATGAAAAAAAAGGGGAGAGGAAGGTGAGTTTATTTTCTTTACAGTACAAAAAATTTCTCTGGTGACTTTTTCTAGGCTAGTGCTTCTAGTGGAAAAAAATATAATTTGGAAATACTCACAGCTTAGATAAAATATGTTACCTTGCAAGATTATAATCCTTCTTCCCTTGGGGTAAGATTTAGCTAGAAAAGTAAGAAGTTATTAGTATTTACATCATTACTATCTGAATGATAATGACAGATTAGTAGATTTAGTGTCCTGCTTGTGACTGATGATTTTTTGAACATGTCAGGTAGATTTGCTTGAAGTGAAATGATACCTGGTAAGATGGATAAACTGTTACAAGCAAAGAAGTGTGTGAAATAAAGCCATTGGATGTGGAAAAGTTCAGAACTAGTCTCGTGCTTAATTTTGTAGTTTATTTTGAGGAAAACTTATTTCTCCATGCTGGGAAACCTATTTTGTGAAGTGGAATGGCAGCTTCAGCCCCTGCTGAAGCCTAGACCTGGTCTTGCAGGTGTGGGGCAAGCTGCCAGCTTCAAACCCAATCAGCGGGCTTGACCACATGCTATGACAGGCAGCGAAAGCCATCTGGGAAAAGAAGAATCCTGTCTTACCCATATGAAGTTCACATTGCTGCTCCCATATGGATCTATGGATGTTCCAGAAAATAATGTTAATTACTAATATAATGAGCAAAGATAATCTCTTTTCAAATATTTTATGCAAACAGGGTATTGGTTTGAATCACATCAAATAGTATTTCACTATTAGCTGGTGCTGCTTATGTACACACATACATATCTGCTTAAATACACTTCGGTGACACAGGAAGGGGAAGAGGCAAGCAGGTTTTTTTAACAGGAGAGCTTTACAGTTCTTGGTTTTACTCCAGCTGGTGCTGTGTTTGAAGTAGCTATTAATTAGCTGCCACTTTACAATCTCTTTTGATTTAGTGAGTCAGGCCTAGATTGTTAATTTATTTAAAAGTATTTGTTGAGGCTCATGCTTGTCTACACCATTAACTCATGAAATCAAAGTCAACTGTTTATCACTGAGCAAACTTGTGATGCACAAATGAGAATGGCAGGCAGTACATCAGCTGGGTGCCTGGTAAAATCACCACAGCAAAACCACTTTGACAGCCTACAGCTCTTTTAAAGATAATGACATTATCTTTAAATATATAAAGAAATGGAGCTTACTTGTAGGTAGATGATTGCTCCTGATGCAGAAGTCCAGAAGTCGGTCTTGGGAGTAAGGGGGAGCAGGAGGCTTTAAGAGCAGCACAGCCCAGCCCTTTGGAAATAAAGCCACCTGCAGGACTGTCATATATGGAACACCTTACAGACAGGTTCGTTTGGTTTCTCAAGTTTTCACACACCCCTTTTGAAGACAGTGATAATATATAGTATAACATAGCCCAGGGACCGGGGAACAAATATTCTCAAGTGCAGAAAACTTACCTTTATCTAGTATTGATTTTTAACTTTTTCTCTAAAAAGGGTTGATTTACATACGCATGACTCTTGGACCACCTTAAGCACGCCTGCTATATTTAAGCACTTGAACTAAGGAGACTCTCACACTTTCTTTCATAAGTTTAGCATGTAAGAAGAGCTATCACATTTTGTTCATAGCTCTCAAAGCCCAGGAAGTGAGATTCTCACCATCTGCATCTGGCAAGGAGCCAGATGCAGAAAAATAACCTGCTTAGAGTCATGCAGCAAACCATGGTGGGTATTAAAGGACAGAGCTCACCTGATGTCAGGTGACACCTCTCTCTGGCTGAGCACAGTGCCTCCAAGATCCACAAAAACCTGCTGGGTTCTAGCACAGGTGCAGCTGCCTTTAGGTCTGAAATGGCTGTGAAGTGATTTGAATGTTCATGAATAGGATGCTTGGCATTATTAGAAGCAACAGATCAGAGACACTGGCGGTGGAGAGACTGAATTGGAGAAAGAAATGAGCGCATCTAACATAAAATTATACTGTTTTTTAATAATTTAGGGAGAGCTTTAGTCAGCCTAGATCAAAATATTTTTGTGCCCCAGAGGTCCATGTTAATTAATAATCTCTTGAGGATGTCTGCATAAACAGGAAAACTTAAAAATGTAGGCACATATGACACATCAATTCTCCTGAGACAAACTATTTCTAATACTGAAAATACCTTATCTTTAATATATTTCAGGTGGGCTTTGTGCTCAGATTTTGTCTTCAAATATCTGTCAGCGAGAATTGTCATTTTGGATTGGGGGCACAGGGGGAGGGAGGAGACATTAAATGAGACATATAACAGAGGCGGGGGCTTACAGGATCCCTTTGGTTTAGTCTTCTTTTGTTTTATGCTCTCTCTTCAAGTGAAGGCATTTATTTTCTGCATTCCTGTGGTGTCAAGGTGCCTCCTGAGCCTCACTGTGCTGCTCCCATGTGCATCTCGTGCTAGTGGTGCTGCACAGTGTGACTGTAGGGAGAAGCAACTCTGATGTAAGGTAATGCTGTTGCATGGTGTGAAAACGAGGAGAGGTAACTGGGAAGGTGTGCCACGGTTTATCCCCAGTGCAATACAGGCCATGCCAAGACACACAGCTAATGAGACTGGTAGAGGGCCACCCAGGTGCAGTGCCCTAGCCAGCCATTTCCAAGCAG